GGAATCAGGCAGGGACTTTGCTTGACCCTGGCCATCTCTGCTGGGCAGCCAGGCCATGCACAAAGGGCCTGCCCTGTAGCCACTGTCACTGCCCCTGTGTCGGGGCCTCAGGGAGGACAGGCTATAGGAGAGGCAGAGAACAGGACTGCACTCTCACCCGAAAGTGCCAGCGCCAGGAAAGGGTCGTGGCTGGGGAGGGGGTGCCTGGAGCTGTGAGCAGAAGTCATGGTAAGATGCAGGCTGTGTGGGGCTGCCCATGTTCTGGTCACCAGGGCAGTAAAAGAAAAGGTCTTTGGCCAGAGAAATGGCAGCAGTGGTGAGCAGCTACAGTGCACACATTTAAGGAGTTCCTTAGGTCAGGGGACGGCTTGGAGGTGCCGTACAGGAAAGTGGGGGTGGGATGGCTCCTTAGGGCAGTGGAGGGACTAGGTCACACCTGGGGCTCTTGGGGCTCTTGGGTGGGGTGGGTGGGAGTGAGTCAGGTAAGAAGACAGAGGCGCCCTGCTCCAGGCCCTGCACAGCCCTGGGCCTGTCCGTCTGTCTGTCCGTCCTCCCCCCGCAGTCACTGCTGCTTCTCTGACCTTCGGGGCCGTAACCTCCGTGGGCCCGTTGCCTTCCTTGTGGCCACGGCTGCTGTGAAGCCCACCAGGCAGCACAGGGACGTGGTGCTGAACTTGAGCGTGTCTAGCCAGCTGGGCGAGGCGGCCTGTAGGTACTGCTCGGCCAGGTGCAGCCCCAGCAGCAGGGCCCACAGGCAGGTAGAGAAGGCATCAATCCTCCGGAGCCTACAGGGGAGAGCAGGGGTGGAGTGAGTACCCATGGGGGCCCCGACCCTTCTGCTTCCTACCTGTCATCCACTCCCGGCCCTGCTCAAGGGCAGAACCCAGAACCAGGGGAGTGTGGCCCCGATTCCTCTTCTAATACTATATGTTGCCAGGCTCGGAGCAGCTCATGTTTCTACAAGCCTCCATGTTCCAGCATGAGATGGGGCTAGGAAAAGCCTAGAGTGACTGAGTGGAGTGATGACAAAGGCATAGCATTTGTGCAGGGCCTGCTACTGCTCAGGGAAGGAGAGCAAGGGCCCAAGGGCCCCCACTTGAGCCCCACAACCCATGAGGCAGCCTTTAGACAGAAGGCTGAGGTGGAGTAGCAAGGCCCTGGGCCCCAACTACAGCGGGTGGGTCAGTGGCGTACTGGTGCTGGGTGCTGCTGCCACCACTAAGGCAAGTCATCTGCTGCCCCACCCGGCCCAGGAGGCTCCCATCCCCCAGAGGACACTGTGGAGTCCAGCCTGAGGCTGTGTGCACTTACCTGATGCGCCCAGCCAGCAGCATGGCCAGCAGGCAGGTGAGCAGGCCCAGAGCCACGACGCCTGTCTGGTGGCTCTGCCCGAAAGCCCAGGCCTCATGCAGCTTCTCCACCGCGTGGTTGGGCAGCAAGCCCAGCAGCTGCCTCCAGCCCTCAGCCCCAGGGCCAGTGCCATTGTCGGGTGCTTCTGAGCCATTGCCACCAGGTGGCAGGGCTGGGGGCAGGGTGGCTTCTGGGGCAAAGGGGTCACTGGTGCCATACAGTGCAGTGGTTAGCAGGAAGGCACAGGTCAAGAAGGCGAGGGCGCGGAGCAGAATGACCTGGACTGGGGACTTCACCGCGGAGGAGCAGAAGCTCTGAGGGAGGAAAGGTGGCAGACAGGTCAGCAAGATGGGAGTCCCCCAGAGTCATCCCTGCGCCCACTACTGTGGGGTCCGACCAGGTTCTGACGACCAGAGGGGCCTCCTCCGGAGCCTGCACCCCACGCACTATACTGTGTTGAAGGCTGTGCCTGACTCTTGCTGCAGGGCCTTCCAGGACACCACAAGTTCTGTGCGGGGTGTGGTTCTGGTCTCTGCTCTCCTTTTATAGGTCTTTGAGAAAATTTTCAATCATTTTGTCAAGTGCTCACCAAACATTCCTGTTGGGATTTAACTGGAACTGATAGAGAACTCTGGCCAAGGTGAAACTCAACAAGCACAGTAACATTAGTCTAGGAACCTGACTAACAAGGTTCTTGAGGACAAGAACCAAAGGTCCGCCTGCTGTCCTGAGGTGCAGCCACCACATAGGTGCCATGGCCGTGCGGTCAGGGGCCCAGCCGCAGACTGGGAGCACACACCCACTGGACCCAGAACATACCTGGGGAACTGAGGGATGGGTAGTAGTTTCTGGGAAGAGGACAGTGTTACTTTTAAGTTTACTCCTTAAGGCACCTGATTAGTATAAACAACCGGAATAGTCCGCTAATTGAGTACCGTGATAAAAACTAGTTTTGGCCTGACGGTCCTGGGTTCAAATCCCAGAGCCAGTGCACACCAGGCACAAGCACTCACGAGTTTCTTAGCCTCCCAGGGTTTGGTTCCCAAGCTGTAAATGGGGGCCATGGTGCCTGGCATGCTAGGGTGAAGGGATATACATCGGGAAAGAGCTCAGACCCAGCAGACCCAGCAGGGCAGCCCAGACGCCCATGTCAGGTGTGTAACGAACACATCACGGTCCTTGGCAACACCTGTCCTAGCCGAGGACATCACAGGCCTGAGGGCTGACTGTTTCCCCAGGGAGAGCTGCCCTCTGCACCCCAGCCCTCTGGGAGAATCCCTCGCTGCCTAAACGCCCCACAGATGCCCGCCTCGGACCTGCCCATAGGTCTGGTCAGCCTCCCGGCGTTTGAACTGGTGGCTGAGCAGCAGAGCGCGGAGCTGGCGGTTCTGGTGCTTGATGTAGTACTCGACGGCTGCCTGGCATGGCCGGCACAGCTTGTACATCTGCTCCAGGTGGTGCCGGTACACCTCGATCTCCTCGTCGTACTTGCCCTGCGGGGTGGGGGACAGAGGCTCCAAGTCTGCAGGGAATCTGAGTTCAGGTCCCGGCCCTGCCACTTACAAAGGATGGACCGTGGACAAGTCATCCCTACCCTGACCTTGCTCCCCACTCTGTCCAGCAGGACAAATGGTCGCATATGTGATGGTATGGGCCATGCAGGCAGGGGGCAGAGACACTGTCGAGTTTTGCTTATCCAGAGAGGCACTTGGAGGCTGGGTGCCTGTCCCTTGAATCCCCAACTTTGGGAAGTTGGGTGAGTGTTGGCTCCTGACTGATACCGCCTGGACTCAGGCAGATGGGTAACCCAGAAACAGGATCTGCCCTTCCCCTCCAGCTAGCCCTGAGCCTTAGTGGGAGCTGAAGGGTTCTATGCTTCTAGAATAGCCCAGGAGAAAAAAACGCTGTCCCTACTCTCACTGCAGCAATGTACCCCTCCCTCCCTGTTTCCCAGAGAACCACGCATTTTGGTCTGGAGAGGCTGGGAGGGTTATTAGTGTGAACTCTTGCCGGGACCAAGCATACCAGAAAAGCAGCCTGGGTGCCAAGTCACACCTGCTTCCCCTTCCTGCAGAGTCCCCATCTGTCCCTGCCTGGGCCCTCCACTCCTATTCTCCTCTCTTTTTCCCAGGCTGGATGCTGGGAAAGCTGACAGGTCTGTCTCTGGAAGTCACTGGACCCTCAGCCTGGGAAAGGTCTGGGGGTGGGGTGGGCAGGCAGGAGGAGCCATGTAACAAGGCTCCTAGATTCTATGAGCCCGAGGGAGGCATCCTCCCAGCTCAGTCCAGCTCTAATATCGAGCCTCTCAGTAGCACGGAGACAGAAGGTAGGAACTTTCTCCACTAACTCTCAGAACAGACTACCCAGCTGCTCCCAGGCAAGACTGACACAGAGAGATGGGGACAGGACGGATGGGTCCTGTCCAGAGCCCAAGCACTCTGTGCCCCCTGCCCAGAGACAAGCCCCTCTAGACCAGCAGGCACTAGGTTTCCATGGTGTTCCCACCGTACGTGGAACCCAGACTACACCCAGAGAATGTGAGCAGTGACGCGACAGAGCAGCGTGGCTCCACCTGAGATGAAAGAAATAGCACACCACGGAATGTGGGGCCAGTGTGGGGTCGGGGTGAGGAAGGGCCCTCTGGCACCCAGAACAGAGAAGCTGCTGTCTTATGGGGCAAAGGCTGGTGGCCCAGGCGGTCCCTCCCTCAGGGCCTCACCTCCTCGCGCGGGGTGAAGGCGGCCAGCTGCTTGATCTTGGTGGTCTGGTGGTGGCTGCACCTCTTGCACAGCAGGACCTGGCTGCTCACCCACTGCTGTGGCTGTGTGGGGTCGCGGAGGCTGGGCACGCTGCTCACCACGTGGTTCAGGTGCTCCATGTATTGGGCAGGGATGGGCTTGTTGTAGTCGCCGTTCTGGGGGAGGAAGTGGGATTGTGGTCAGCAGGAGCCCTGTCCCAAGAGGCAGGCCTCCCCACTGGCTCGGGTCTGGTGACAGCCCCGTGCAGAGCTGCCCCCAGGAGGTGGTGGTGGATCTTAACACTCCTAATTCTTTCCTTCTTCACGTGTGACACGGTAGCCTTTCTTCTGAAGAACTTCACCTGGAACCCCGAAGGCCTGGGTGCTGAGAGTGAAGCCACCCAGCCTGAGCGCAGGGCAGGGCCTGTAGCCCGCCTCCTGCCCACACACTTCTATCTGGTTGCATCCCTCAGACTCCCCCAGCTCTCGGACCTTAGCCGGCCAACCAGGATCTAGCACCGAGGCGGGCAGCCATGGCTGTGGGCTGGCTGCCTGCTTTCCCAGGTAAGTGTGGCTGGAACACAGAGCACGTTTGCTGACTCCTGGTCTAGCGGTCTGCAGAGCCAGGACGATCTGGCTTTAAACCCTGTATCTGCCCACTTTAGCAGTATGACTTAGGATGAGTCGCCACGGCTTCCTGAGCCTGGTTCCTCCTCCTCAAAAGGCGTGGAGATGAGAGTTCTGTGAAAGTGTGCAAGGCCCCTGCTCAGGGCCTGGCAGGGAGCAGGGTGGCCTCCAGGTGCCGTCTCAGGAGACCAGTCCCGCCTGCGTGCCTGGACGCACCTCCTGGAAGCCGTTGTACTGCTCGCAGTGGGGGCAGTCCCAGCAATTGCGGTTCCCGTAGGGCACCAGCGTGTCTTGGTTGCAGAACCAGCAGTTGACTGTTGTATGTGTCGGCTTCGCCCTGTGGACCGAGGACAGTGGCGTCAGCTGAGAAGACACTGACACAGGTCGATGGGAGGCCACCAGGAAAGTGGGATCTGGCGCTCCAGACGGGAGACTCAAACGAATGTTGCCATGTCTGCCCGAGAATGGGCCTTCTCAAGGCAGAACACCTCTCAGCAGGCAGCTAGGGATCCCAGTGCCACCAACTCCTGGTGTCCTGGGGCTCAGACAAAAGGGACAACAGGGGATACGGCTGGCTAGGTCACAGGGCTGACGTGGAACCGGTTCCAGGCCTGCCCCAGGCTATGGAAACGGTGCTCCCCAGGAGGCACAGAGTCCCTAGGAGTATGAGGGCCAAGGAGGCTGTGAGGACTAGTGACAGCTGCCAGTCCAGGGCCCACGCTCCCTGTGGAGGAGACAAGGGCGGGCAGGCCACAGTGGCCCTCACTGGCCACACATGCAGTGACAGGTGGGAACTGTGGGGTAATCCTGGCCTAGACACTGGGGGATCTGTACCCGCCTTGCTGGCTGGGGGTACTACGGGGTGGCGGGTACACAGCAACTGCCCAACAAACCCCTCCAGTCCCAGAAATCTAGCAGCAGCTGTTTGAGCCCTGGCCTCGCCTCCCAGCTCCCCCGCGGGCAGCTCCTCACACAGGCCGTCGGCAGAGCCCTCCCTCCTACCACCTGGAGTCCCAGGCTCCGCCAGCCTCAGGGCTCCAGCCTGCGCAGTGGGAGCACTCAGAGCACCGACGGGGGCCGCGTGCTCCAAGGGTGCAGTCACACACTGGAAGGTGCCTGGCAACGTGGTGGGCCAGCTCTCTGTGGGGCTTGCCATGGCTTCTGACACCACCACAGCTGCCTAGTCCCCTCCTCCTGCCAACCACAGGCAGGTTAAGGGAGTTCTCTTCTCACCTGCCAGCCAGGAACAAGTACACCCCCCTCACAGGACATGGCTCGTAGAAAGTGTCGGACAGTTCCTGGCCTGGGGTCAGTGCTCAATACACAATAGTAACATGGCGGGTGGGTGTAGAAAGAGGCTGGGGAAGAGGAGATGAGGCCAACCCTCAGGGAAGGCCCATGGGGTAGCCTGAACATCCTCTGACACTCGCTTCCACGCACCTCCCCAGCTCAGGCCGAAGCCCTCACAGTGGACCGGAGGGATGGACTGCTACATCTTGTCAGCAGCACGGAGCAGGCAGGCAAGGCCCGAGGGGCACTGTGCCCATGGCTCCCAGTGAGTCATTTTACTTCCTGGAACCTCCATCTTACTCCTGCTCCAGTCAAATGGGGATGCCGAGAGTCCCTGCCCCAAGAGAGCCTACTGTGAGGACGGGAGAGAAAGCAGGAAAGCGCCTAGTGTGGCAGGCAGTGCTCCAAGTTTTGATGCAAACGGCAGTGGGCGGAGGCCTCCGGCGTCAGCCATGGAGGGGCCTGGAGCCTGGAAACCGCTCTGCTGCGGTGTCCGCACTTGGCATGCCTGGGCAATTAGGCACTTGGCTTCCTCTGCTCATTTGTACCTGCTCTACAGGCATCTTTGTAATTGTGCACAGGGCATGTCCTGCTGGGTGATGCCTGGGCCGAGGGACCTCTCTAGCTACCCCTCCATACCCTCAGCTACTCCCAACCCCGAGCCCTTGGGCCTCGGGTCTGGGACAAGGCTCTGCATCATATGCCTGGGTGCTGGGCCCCTCCACCCTTACAAAGGGCTCTTGGTCCTCTTACCCTGTTTGAAAGGGAAGGTCCAGGTCTGTGCCTCCCCTGGGGATCGATGACAAGCAAGCAGGGACTGTGGCTTCAGGCCAGGGAGCTGCCATGAAGCCACTCCAGCTCCAGAAAGTCATCACTTCCACCCTGAATCTCCAGCTGTTGCTAGGGAAATGGCTCCAGGCATCTAGAATGAGCCTGGCCTGGAAGCATGGCAGGAAGGAAAGGCGGATTAACCTGAGTCCCTGGGGCTAGCTGCTGCAGCTCCTGTCACTCTCAGTCCTAGGAAATCCCTGCCATGGTAGCACAGAGCTGATGCTGTCTAGTTCACTACAGTCATTGGGCCTGCACTCTCTCATAGCTAGGCTATGTTTACACACCAAGGCGTTCTCTCCCTGGCTTTGGGGGTGTGTCCTGAATGGGCCTGTAGGCCCTCTGACAGGCAGGTGGACCAGGGAGATGTGGGAGGCAGTGCTCCAATCTCAGGGTCTCCCTTACCAGCATCATGGCTCCCAAAGCCACGTGCCCTGGACGAGTGAGTGAGTGAGAAACACTGTCCTACCCGGTGGCCGACTTCACGGCTCATACAAAGTCCCAGTGGCAGGCTGGGCCATCCTGGTCTCGGGGTCTGCGCTTACCTCCACCCAGGCACGAAATGGCAGCATCTGGGCCAATCTCTTCCAAGCCAGCCTAGTCCAGGCCCTGCCCGTGCTCAGGGAAATATCCCCCAACCTTCCCTCATAAATCCAACTCATTTATCTCTTTCGAGCCAACAATTTGGTCCCCAGATTGGCTCTAGGACAAACCATACTTTACGGATAAGGACAGAGGTGACAAGAAAGAATGTCTCTGTGAACGGGCAGAGGACAGCCCCTGGAGAGGCTGCCCTCCCACCTAGTGCTGGTCTTGGTTCTATAAGGCCATGAGCTCAGTGGCCCTAGCTAGGCTGCCTCGATAGGCAGGTTGGGCCTGAGGGGGTGCGCAGAGGAAAGGCCTGGAAGCTGCTCCAGCCACTGCAATGCTGAGCTCTTAGGGTACCAGAGGTAGCCTGAGGCAACCACAGGCAGGTGGGGTCCTAGCCGCGTGTCCCTTCACAAGCCCAGAACATGCAGGGGGTCCAGAAAATGAACACGTACGTCTAACTACATCACACTCAGCCCTGAAGATGGATGTCGAGTTAAAACAAAGCACCTGTCCTGACAGCTCTTGGCGTGAGCACACCACTGAAGTCCCTGCCCAGGAACCTGCTGCGGCGGGGTACCTGCTGTGCGTCTAACGCTGTGCCATGTGGCGGTATCACTGGATGGGGCTGAGACCCTGCTCTGGGCAGCTCAGAGTCTGTAGGAAGCTGTGTCTCCACCAGGCCCTGAGAAGTGCTCGAAGGGGCCTGGCACACTGCTTGGGACCCTAAGCCCTGTGTACTGGCCCAGTGGGGGCTCCGAAGGACTATCTCTGAGAGTCACTTAGTTCTCGCAAGGGCCCAGGGAGCCAGAGGTCAGCCTTGGCAATGCCCCAAGAGGACACCCCAGGACAGCCTCCCAGTGGGCTCCTCACTTGCTCTTCCACGCGGTAGGTGGTCTCACCCGACAGGAAGAATGTGAGAAGGTGTCTCCCGAGCATCAGTGACAGTAGCACTGAAACAATTCAGCATAGCCAGGACCCAACAGGCCCCAGGTTCCAGAGCAGAACTCAGTGCAGGCCGCCGTAATGCTGCCAGCTCAAACCCACCTGCCTGGGGCAGAGCCTGGCCTGGAGCGGGTACACCATTCTCATCAGTTTGCCAAGCACACTCGGATTACAGAGGCGCAAAATGAGCCAGAGGCTCCACAGTGACCTAGACACAAGGGCCAGCATGATGTCCTCACCGGGCAGCTGGTGACAGATGCCACAGGAGACAGGCCAGCTAGTGGGCATTTGCTGCTGCCCTGAAGAACAGGTAAATGTGTGTGTTCAACGGCAGAGAAGAGACCACATGTGTGAATCCAGAGTGAGCGGGGAGGGGTCGCTGGCAGCGGCTCACTGGCAGCGGCGCTGACTGGCTGAAGGCCGCACCACACAGCCCAAGAGGGCAGGCAACATCCTTTCACCCCTGAGCACTGGAAGCAGACAATTCCAACACACAGGGGGCCGCAGGAGGGGAGGCGGCTGAGCAGGACGGTGATGTGTGCAGGGAAGGGCCTGGAGAGCAGGGGTCCTGGATACAATGTGAAGAGGGACAAGGACATACCTATGCAGCAGTCAAGGGGAGGGTGAGGCGGAGGAAGCTACAGGCTAGCAGGACTGCCTGCGTAACAGGGTGGGCAAGCCCAGGGAAGTGTAATTTGGATTTCCACCATGACTGTGAGGACAGCGACAACGGTGGCCTCCCGTAGGTGCTGAGATACAACCAAGGCTCAGTGAGCACCGGGAGCCTGAAGCATTGTCGACGGCTGGTGTGAGGCAGGGCTCTGCCATGGAACAGCTGGGAGATACGGGGCAGGTAACCCGAACTTGCAAGCTTCCATTTCTCTATCTGTAAAATGGGGAGGAAGCTGGGGGGAACAGCAGTACCTGTCCCACCAGGCTGCTGCCCCATGTCACCAGATGACAGTGCACAAGTGTTTACTGTCTGCTCTAGGGCCAAAGTGTCAGCTGCTCTCGTCATTAACAAAAAAATCAGGCCAGAGAGAGAACTCTGTGGGGAGAGGGGGGGGACGTCTGAGTCAGTCCTGAAGGAGCACTTTGGAAGCACTTGAGACCTTCAGAGAAGGGACCTCTTCCTCACCCCAGTCTTAGGGCCTGTCTTAAAGTGCAGGGTGGGGGCTCATCGGGAGGACTTCCCCCCACATCTCTGGGCCACTGCCTTGCCATTTGTGATCTCTTGCTGAGCCTGCAAACACCCACCCAGCCAAGTCGCCTTCCAAAAACAACTCTCCTGACATGCCCTCCTGAGGGTCATTTAAAGCCCAAGCTGTGGCCGGAGCTGTTTCCTCACTGTCGCTCCATTCTCCTCTGTGAAGGGAGACGGACGTAGCCGCTGGCAGGCTGGTCTTACTTCCAAATTGTGCAAGTGACCAATTGATGACTTCCACCCAAAAACCAGGGCTCGAGGAGGGCATCTTTGTAAAGGCTGGCCCTTCTTCACCCAACTAACTGCAAAAGTCCCAGTGCCACATTGGGCCCCTCTGGTGTTGTCCAGGAATCTGAAAGAACTCCCAGGCACCTTCCCGGCACACCAGTCTGCCCAACACTTTACCAAAGCCCCAAACTCTTATTTCTGAGAGAGGGCAAGCTAGGAAGAGGCATGCCAGGCAGGGTGGGGTGGAGAGGATC